TCCCTCCCAGTTCCCTCCCAGTCCCTCCCAGTCCCTCCCAGTTCCCTCCCAGTCCCTCCCAGTTCCCTCCCAGTTCCCTCCCAGTCCCTCCCAGTCCCGCTCACCGCCATTGGCCGGTACCCCGCGATCGATGACATCACCACGATGGCCCCGCCCCTACGGCGAGAGGGGGCGGGGCTTAACCCTGACCCTGGAGCTGTCAATCAAACCCCGACCACGCCCCCTTGGAGATGTCAATCAAACCCTGGCCACGCCCCCTTGGAGATGTCAAGCAAGCCCCCGACCACGCCCCCTGGAGCTGTCAATCAAACCCCGACCACGCCCCCTTGGAGATGTCAATCAAACCCTGGTCACGCCCCATTGGAGATGTCAATCAAACTCTGACCACGCCCCCATTGTGATGTATGGGAGCTCCCAGTTCATCCCAGTCCGATCCCAGTTCCATCCCAGTCCATCCCAGTTCATCCCAGTGACCCCAAACCCTCTCCCAGTTCATCCCAGTAACCCTAAAGTTCCATCCCTGTCCCTCCCAGTTTATCCCAGTCTATCCCAGTCTATCCCAGTCCCTCCCAGTCTATCCCAGTATATCCCAGTCCCTCCCAGTCTATCCCAGTCTATCCCAGTATATCCCAGTCCCTCCCAGTCTATCCCAGTATATCCCAGTATATCCCAGTATATCCCAGTATATCCCAGTATAACCCAGTCTATCCCAGTCTATCCCAGTATATCCCAGTCCATCCCAGTATAACCCAGTATAACCCAGTCTATCCCAGTCTATCCCAGTCTATCCCAGTCCCTCCCAGTCTATCCCAGTATATCCCAGTCCCTCCCAGTCTATCCCAGTATATCCCAGTCTATCCCAGTCTATCCCAGTCCCTCCCAGTCTATCCCAGTCTATCCCAGTCTATCCCAGTATATCCCAGTATAACCCAGTCTATCCCAGTCTATCCCAGTCTATCCCAGTCTATCCCAGTATATCCCAGTCTATCCCAGTCTATCCCAGTCTATCCCAGTCCATCCCAGTATAACCCAGTCTATCCCAGTCACCCCCGTTTCTCCATGTGCGGCACCACCAGCCGAACCAACATGGCCGCCGCCGTCACGTTCACCTGGAACACCTGGAGGGGGGGGCGTGGTTACGCCTGGGTGACGTCACCGCTGGGCGTGGCCACAAGGCGGGGGGGGGTGACGTCACCGGTGGGCGTGGCCTCACCTTGTCCCAGGTGGCCTCGTCGGCCTCGAGGGCGGGGCCCAGGTGAGGATTGACGGCGGCGTTGGACACCAGGATGTCGATGGCGCCAAAGGTGGCCAGGGCCTGCCCGGGGGGGGGGACAGGTGAGCTCAGGTGTGCTCAGGTGAGCTCAGGTGTGTCCCCAGGTGTGTCCCAGGTGTGTCCCATGTGTGCCCAGGTGTGTCCCAGGTGTCCCAGGTGTGCCCAGGTGTCCCCAGGTGTGCCCAGGTGTG